CACTGAGACATCTTAACTGTTGGTGAAAATTCTATAAATACACCCTAAATCCACCGAGATGTTGATAAACATGAAATACCCATCAAATGAATTATCATGCAGCTGTTAAAAAGAAAAAGGTCAGTAATAAATATTAAGTAAAAAGAGCAAGTTGGTTGCAAAACAATTATATGGTATGATCCCATTTTTATTAAGACAAGACAGAAAATGCAACTCTATGTTTATGTGCTTGTATATGTATCCTCATAGCGAGACTTTCCACCAAATTGACAGTGATTAACCCTGGAATGGGAACTACTGGGATGGAGAAAGGGCAACATGTACAAAGAAGGCTGGACGGTATACCACAATTTTAACTTTCTATTTGATATAAATTTTTCAGAGTATATATTACTAGTAAATTAAGACAATGAATACATTTAAGTAATATCTACATGACATCAACATGAAGAATCCTAACTAAATTTCAAAGAACATGTATGAAGGCTTACAGGCCACTGTTCCTCAGTTGGTGTGCCCAAAGTTTCAAATATTCTTGTTAGTTGATCAAGGTCTGAATCTCCTGGCAAAAAAGGAACCTGAAAGAGTGAGATGCAGGTATTTCAAGGTGGTTTATAATAGTTACACAAATAATACTATAAATTTAATAAAAAACCTAAACTGTGGGGCACCTGGGTGGCTCAGTCGGTTAAGCGTCTGCCTTCGGCTTAGGTCATGATCCCAGGGTCCTGGGATTGAGCCCTGCATCAGGCTCCCTGCTCAGCAGGAAGCCTGCTTCTCCCTCTCCCACTCCCCCTACTTGTGTTCCCCCTCTCGCTATGTCTCACTCTGGCTATTAAATAAATAAAATCTTAAAAAAAATACAAAACTAAACTGTTTAACAAAAATCAAAATGTAGTCTGAGGTATACTAGATGTGGCACTGGATCCTACCACTGCTAACCAAATAAAGAGCATCATGTTTCCCATTTTATTCACTCCAGAGATCTTTAATAAACACCATGTAACAGGTACTGTGCTAACTAATTAAACCCTAGGCATTTAAAGAGGGAACAAGACAAGGACGCTTGGGTGGCTCAGTCAGGTGAGTGTCCAACTTTTGATCTCAGTTCAGGTCTTGATCTCAGGGTTGCAAGTTCAAGCCCCACACTGGGCTCCACATTGGGCATGGAGCATACTTAAAAAAAAGTGAACAAGACAGTCCTTGCTCTCCCATAGGGTGCATGTAGGGAATGCTGGTAATACAACTAAAGGGGCATCTGCCAGATGATGTTTTCAGTGAGAGCAGGATACTAGCATACACAGAACAGCACCTAGCCCACTCTAATAGGTCAAGAAAGGCTTCCTAGAGGAAGCAGCAGAGAAAGCTGATGAGAGTTAGCCAGAGGAAAAGTGTTAAGACGGAGGAAAACTATTCTAGCTAAAGTACAGGAGCAACAGTTGCCAGGCAGAAGAACATCTATATTACAATCTTATTTATTTATTTATTTTGTTTTATTTTTTATTTATTTTATTTTTATTTTATTTTTAAAGATTTTGTTTATTTATTTGAGAGAGAGAGAATGAGAG